AAAGGTCTAGGCCCAAAACGTCAGCCTCTCTGCTCCTATGATGCTGCTTGGCCTGCTGTGTTCATCCAGCCCTGCACCTTGTTGTCTCGAATTCTCCAGCATCTGCAGTTCCTACTATCTATGATCTGATTAGTGGCCGTTTAGGAAAAGGTGAAGTGCAACGAATCCTGGGTGTCACAGTGGAAAAGTTGCTGAAGGTCGGCATGCAGGTGCAGCAGGTAGGAAGGAAAGATAAATGCATGCTGGTCTTCATAGCAAGGGGATTTGAGTATCGGAATAAGATGTCTTGCAATTATACAGGGCCTTGGTGAGGCCACACCTTGAGTATTGTATGCAGTTTTGGTTTCCTAGTCTGAAGAAAGACATTCTTACTGTTGAGGGAGTCCAGCAAAGGTTCACCAGACTGATTCTCAGAATCGAGGACTAACATACGAGAAAAGACTGGGTCAACTGGGGTTGTATTTGTTAGAATTTCGAAGAATGAGGAGGGGCTCTCATAGAAACATACAATCCTGTAGGGACTGGACAGGCTAGTTTGGGAAGAATGTTCACAATGTTGGGCAAGTCCAGAACAAAGGGTCACAGTGTAAGAATAAGGCGTAAGAGATGATGAAGAATTTCTTCACTCAGAGCATTGTGAACCTGTGGAATTTTCTCCCACAGGAAGCCGTTGGGGCCAGTTCATTAGATATACTCAAGAGGGAGCTGGACATGGCCATTGCAGCTAAAGGGATCAAGGGAGTTTGGGGAGAGGGCAGCAATGGGATGCTGAGATTGCATGATCAGCCATGATTGTTTTGAATGGTGGTGCAGGCTCAAAGGGCTGAATGGCCTACTCCTGCACCTATTTTCTATGTTTCAGTGCTTGTGTAACACCATTGGTCTGAACTGACCACAATATGCACGCTACATGTCAATAAAAGTTCATTGCAAAGGTGTCGAGCTCCCTCTGTGATTTTTGCAAATTAACTTCCAGCTGATTTTAATGTTGGAAAGTGTGGCTGCAAAACCAAAAGAGATAGAAATCCTGATAGGAGAAGCAATAACATAAAAGTAAGCAAGAACATGCATTGATATAGCATCTTTCAAGACCTCAAAATAGTCCAAAGTGTTTCATTGTCAATTAAGTACTTCTTGAAATGTAATCACTGTTATAATGTGGAAAACTCAGCAAGCAGTTTGCATCCAGCAAGCTCCCACACAGAGCAATGAAGTAACTGGCAGGTAATCTGTTTTGTGATGTTATACAGGGATACAGGGAGACCTGCCCTGCCCTTTTTCATATGAAACTTTTATCCACCAGAGAGGGCAGATAGAGCCTCAGTTTAACATCTCATCTGCTCTCTCAGTACTATCGGGAGTTTCAGGCTGCATTACGTGTTCAAGTCTTTCAAGTAGAAATGGAACCCATAACCTTCTAACGCAAGAGTGTTACAGCTGAGTTAAGGCTGTCATTTGCCCAGTTTTGTTAACTCTACTTGCATTAAAAAAAATTTCAGATGCAAATAGTCTTTGATATGATTAATATTTTGATTGTAGTGTGAACTTGTTCTACATAGTGTTTGTAGATTTAAAACAAAACTTTTTCAGATCTTGTAAGATAAACTGCAGTCATGATTATTTTATACTTATTTCTAAGTTTCCTGTTTTAAAAATATCACACCTCTAGCATTTCAGTGAACACAGTACACTATTTAGAATGTATGGCTTGACTCAAATCATTTTATGAGGACGTTACTTGGAAATAAACTAAAACAATGACATTTCTGGAATTAAAGCATTATTTGTACTAACAGAATGGTTACACATTGCTCTTTAACAAACATTTTGAGAGAACTGGATCTTAGGGAGGGTAGTAAAACTGATGCAAAAACAAAGTTGCTGGAAAAACTCAGCAGTAAAATTGATGGGCTCCTGTGCATGGATTGGTGAAATAATGAGACAGGATGTTTGTTCTCAACCAAGGTTTTCCTAACTTGACACTATTATTGGGCATCCAGTTTTCCAAAATCAAGTCATTACTTGTTCCTCTTGAAAATGTTACTTACATCTGAATTCTATTGTTATCTCTAATAATCTCTAAAGACTGAATTTTAAGTGGGTACAGAGTCCAATTGGGAGTTGCCACCTGTGTTTGGATATCTAACGACCATTGGACTATCTTGTCCGAGCAGTGCCAACTAGACTGATGACCACTGCTGGGACATTAACAAATCGCATGAAGAAGAACCAACAGCCAAGATGAGTTGTAGTTTTGCTAGGTGAACAAATCAAAGGCAAGAGAGTAAGAAAGATCCCAACAGTTGCTGGAGGAAGACTTAGGCAGTCATTAATTGACTATTTAAGGACCTCAACTGGCACATGGACAAGTGTGGGGTGTTGTATGCCTCTCCTGCTCCAAATGAAATCGGTTAGAGGTATGATGCTGTTGCCATAGTGTCCAATTTGATGACCCCTATCTGCCATTCCATTTCCAGTGTGTGTAAAGTTCATACCCAAATATACAGAGCACTCTATAGTTTACACTAAATTTGTGGCCCATAAAAATTTACAATGAATCAACTATTGATTGTTTTATGAATGCTTAACATAAAATTAAGTACTAATTTTCCCTTGTTTTTCTATCTCAGATAACATTCTGACTTGCACTTGTCCTCCTGATTACATTGGGAATGGCTATGGAGCCAGTGGCTGTGTTCTTCTCAATGATATCTGTCAACATGATAATCCCTGTGCGAATGGGCAGTGTGTTGTAAGTTCTAAAAGATTTTGTCAAAATCTTCCTCAGCAATGTTATGGAGAAAACTTATATAAACACAAAAGCAAATCATTTGAGTAAAACGTGGAGAGTATTGACATGGATATGAAACATGAAAATGATTCATTCTGCAGACACCCAGTTACTTCTGTAACTATACAGATGTTACAATTTCTTTTTAATGCATCTATTTTTCAGTTTAAAAAAAAAATATGCAGTTGAGGTACATATGGGGTCATGGCATGAAATTTGTGTTGTTTGAACTGGCATGATGAACATGTTTGTGTGGTTTTGGAGGTGGATGATTTTTTTTTCTCTTGACACAGAAAGACCTTGTGCAGAATGCAAGCTTAAGGCCAACACATAATGGCTGCCATTACACTCACTCAGGTTCTCTCATAAATGGGATACAGGAAGAGGAGAATTCTGAACCTGAATCGCTCTTTTTTTTCTAGTTTTAGCTTAAAAAAAAGTGTTCTACAATATAACAAATTTCTTTTACAGAAGAATGTTTACAACTACAGAAGATTTTTAAAAAATGTATGATATGAGGTATACTGGTAAATAAAATCTCATGCAGTTATGTGGAAGAAATCTGCAAAGTATATCTGGACTGTTGTTTTAATAATTATAGGAAGAAAAATGAAATGCATGCTGGGACATGTTTCCAACCAGAAGCTTATTTTGAGGTTCAGTTGCAAATGATGAACCATTCATGTTTCATTATTGTCATAGAATAGTCAAGGAAAGCACAAAATTAACAATTTTGTTAAATTAACAAATTAACAAACCAAGATTTTAGAGTGTAACTTAGTCCACGGAGGGAGGTTTTGCCACTGTTGTGTATGGACAAGGAAATTTCTTGCAACTGGCACTGATCCATTGCCATCACTTCACCAGAAATTCAGCAGAAACTCAGTTTACAATTGTAGCAGGAGTTCTGCAACATACACTGTGATGTTATGACAACGGTACCAGAGAAGTTGCAAAGAAATTACTAGAAGTAACATTCAGTTCACAAGAAATTACACATTTTCCTAATTTTTTTACTTTATTCAGTTCACAATTTCAGGTTATGTGTGCATTTGTGATCCAGGATGGACCAGCACTAACTGTACTGAGAATATTAATGAATGCGCCAGCAACCCCTGCCAGAATGGTGGAAGCTGTACTGATGGTGTTAACAGTTATTCCTGTATTTGCACTAACGAGTGGACAGGCCCTCAGTGTCGAATACCACAGCAAGGTAAACTGATGAGTATCTGTGACCCCGCCTCTTCGACCTGTTTGTTTCCTCTCCACGTATCCTCTCCTCTATCCATCTTCTATTCGCCTCCACTCTCTCCCTATTTATTTCAGAACCCCCTTCCCCTCCCCCTTTTCTGATGAAGGGTCTAGGCCCGAAACGTCAGCCTTTCTGCTCCTATGATGCTGCTTGGCCTGCTGTGTTCATCCAGCTCTACACCTTGTTGTCTCAGTATCTGTGACTGTTGTGTGAATGGAGGGAGCCCAGGAGACTACCAATATTGCAATTGGTTTATAATGTCCTTTAGGGAAGGAAATTGCCATCCTTACCTGGTTTGGCCTACATGTGATTCCAGATCCACAGCAATGTGGTTGACTCTTAACTGCCCTCTGGGCAATTAGGGATGGGCAATAAATGCTGCCTAGTGACGCCCTCATCCTGTGAATGAATAAAGGAATTAATGTAGCAAGCACTATCTAAGCTTTAGACATTATTGTAGTAGTGGTCTAGGTTTACTGATCCTTTCAGTGGACTGGGGATAGAGAAGGCCAGGAAAGTGCTCCAGGACATGTGATATCACATCACTACTTCTTTCTATGTAAAGCCAACTTACAGCCTTCATAAACAAAATCGGAAATTGCTGGTGAAATTCAGCTGATCTGGCAGCATCTGTGCCATTCGCTGCCATGCCCTCTTGAGGATTGTAAAATAAAAAAAACGAACTGATCAAGAAAAAGTCCCATTAGGAATCTGATTACAGTTTAAGGATCAGTCTAGGTAGAGAAGGTGAATAGATCATGTAACTATTCCAGGGTGTATAGATTTAACACAAGGAACAAAAACAAAGTTGCTGAAAAAGCTCATCAGGTCTGGCAGCATCTGTGGAGGGGAAAACAGAGTTAACGTTTCGAGTCCGGTGATCCTTCCTCAGTTCTGAGGAACTGAGAAAGGGTCACCGGACCCGAAACGTTAACTCTGTTTTCTCCTCCACAGATGCTGCCAGACCTGCTGAGCTTTTCCAGCAACCTTGTTTTTGTTTCTGATTTACAGCATCCGCAGTTCTTTTGGTTTTTATTTTGTATAGATTTAAGTTTAGATAGTCAATTTAGAAGGAGACGTGTGGCATTGACCTTACAGAATCTTTCCTGAAGAGGAACTGGCTATTACACAACAATTGTGAAAGAACTTGCACAATTGACCTCATGGATTTTATTAACTTAGTTTCACTTCCTGCTGCTTGATATGTTAGGAATAGCTCCTTGGACACACATCAACTTCAAAGAAACTGACTTTTTCATTTTCAGCAAGTATCATTTGTATAAAAGAAATGCTGAAACTGAGAAAAGAATATTCACAATAAGTGAGACAGAATCAGTGGAGAGACATACCACTTATATCCCTGCTTCAAGTGACACAGCGGTTCCTGTTAGAACTGAAGACTTACCAGACTTTTTTGAAATTTGGCCAATTTGAGCCTGAGAAGGATTTCTGGTGCAGTGTCAAGGCACTGTTCAAAGTTTGGAAAGATGAAGGGAAATGAGCCAAGGTAGGCACTACTGATGCCAAGATGTACAAATAGACCCCCTCTCCCAAGATTCGGGACAGGGGTCTCTGGTTTCATGCTGAAGTGGGTAGAGTTTCTGGAATTCCTGTGCCATTACTTTCTCATCACTTATTTTAGTGGACAATAAAAATAACTAATGCTGCAACAAATGTCTGTAATGTTGGAACAAATGGTTGAACTAACAGTTGTCTGCTATGTTATCTTAACAAATAGTTGATCCTGCCTGTGGAGGAACATATGAAGACAGTAAGGGCATTCTCACCACCCCCAACTGGCCCAATGCATATCCCAGCAACAGGCAATGTGTCTACATTATCCGGCAGCCCACTGGGGAGCGCATCCACCTCCAGTTCACATATATGGATTTGGAATCCAACAACAGCTGTTCCTCAGTCTCCGTAGAGGTAAATTATGCCTTCCATACACTTTACAAGTATGCTCTCATGGACTTTTAGCCCTGAGTGCTCTGAAATGTGAATAGATAATTTAGCAAACCAATTGTAGTTGCTGTAGCAATGAAATGTGAGTACAATCAGAGCACTATGAGTACATTCTTATGAGGCACATTCTTTTCACATCAACCAGCCAGTGAATTCACTGTTACTGACCTCAGATTAAGTATTTCTAGGGGATTCCTTTCAGGACTTATTGAGCTCAGTGTTTTTAAAAACGACTAATTGCAGTAATCATGCAAAATAATAGATAGTTTTGAGTCCAGCAAAGTTTGATTCCTTCTTTATGCAGTTTGCATCTGGATAAAGCATTACTGATCCCTGCCCTTCTCAAAATAATAGTGCAGTGGTAGGAACCACATTGCAAATCTGGAGGGACACCACATAATTAAATGTGTAGTTTCCCACAAAAAGGAGTCAAGCTTTGCTTCAAAGTTTGTACATGTGTGTTTTGGGGGAGGATTACTGTAGAGAATGAAAAGCATTATAGCTACCAGCACTTTTTAAAAATTATAGTACTTTGTCTGTTAGGCACAGAGCTGTTGTATCCGTGAATCTAATCTGATTAGAAGACAGTCTATTCCTTTGAACAGTGTTTCAGAAAATTCCCATGACTAGACTTGTGGCCAAAAAGTATATTTTGATTCCATAAAAGATTTGATTGAAAAAAATAACTGTCTCGATAGGACTGACTGAAATCCCTTGGTGAATTTGCTTCAAAATTAAATCACAGCAATGTATTGATAACATTTTTGAGATCTCCACTTAAATATTCCAATTCATATAATTACTGCATACTGCATATGAGTCTTTTGTTTGACATTTGTGGCTTACGTACATCCTGCACAATGATGGTTTGACATGCACTCCCCTTCCCCATTGAATCTGGACGAAGTGGGCTGAGCAGGGAATATGACAGCATTGTCGGAGACATTGCATGTTTTCTTACTGCAGAATTATTTTATCAATATTCAATCGACACACTGCATTAAAAATCTTTTAATGTTCTTTTAGCCTGGCTGTGGAAATAATGTGAAAAATCCCCCAGAAGGCCAAATCTTGACCAAATAATGCATTTTATTATTTCCACTTGAGTGGTATTTCCAAAAGGAAAGTGATCCCTTATAGAACACATAAAAGAATTCACCAATAGCTTCAACTCTTCTATCCAGTGATGTGTATCCTTAGCTTATTATGTTTCTGAATTTTTGACAGTGCTAATTGTAGTCACAAATAGTATAGAAATTGATGAAGTGAGGCAGAGAAAGTCAAAGAAATGTTATTTTGCAGTTTAATGCAAAAGAAATTATCAGTATAAATGTAACTGCTCTTGGTTGGAATATTATAGATATGGTCATCATCTGAGAATTCTGATGGTTTCAAAATGTTTTTCAAACAAATTAGTTGCTTTATTATGTTACGGTGTTTATGCTATTTCATTATAGTTAATTATAATGGTATTTATTATGCAACCTTCAAAGCACTAAAATGGATATTTATTTGTGCTAATGTAATGACACTCACACAGGAATCAGATGAGGGTCTCTTTTCTTGATTGCAGATGGGGCCTGCAGCAGGCTGTCAGATAAGATATAAAAAGAAGAGCCATATATCTTGAAGCCTATGATTATCTATCACGGAGAGCAGTTGTGCAAGAATTATAGCTCATCCTCTGATCCTCGTGGTAACCATGTCACAAACCATGGGGAGATCGTGGCCTAGTGGTGTAATCGCTATCCTATTAATCCAGAAACTCAGCCAGTGATCTGGAGACCCACACTCAAATCCTGCCATGGCAGATGTGGGAATTTGAATTCAATTTTTAAAATTCTGGAAATAAGGGTCTAATGATGATAGTGAAGCTGTTACTGATTGTCAAAAAAATCCGTATGGTTCACTAATGTCCTTCAGGGAAGGAAATGTGCCATCCTTATATGGTCTGGCCTACATGTGAATTCAGGGCCACAGCAAAGTGGCTGACTCTCAACTGCCCTCTGAAACAGGCTACTTAATTGTATCAATTGTAACAAGGTCTACATCATGTGGACTGCAGTAGTTCAAGAAGGCAGCTCACAACCACCTTCACAAGGGCAGCTGGGGACAGGCCATAAATGTTGGCCAGCCAGTGATGCCCACATCCCACGAATGAATAAAATTAAGAAATAATATCTCCTTATCGGAATATGGCTTGGCATATATTACAGCCTTGTGAGTAGGATGGCTAGGAAATATGGGAGGCATAGAGACAGTATTTCTAAGTGCATGGTTTAAAGACCATATCTTGTTATTTTTGTGCTTTCTATAACTGTGGACTGAAATCAGAAAGAATTGCTTTAAAAGATTGGAATTTACAGGAATGGCTATCTGTTTTGATAGCAAATAATTTGATATCTATTGTGAACACTATTTGTGTAGCTGTGTTTTCCAGCAATGTGCCAACTAAACTGGTTCTGAGGAATTGTTCATGAATAAAGCTGATTAGTTTGTGGAGTAGGGGCCAGTTATCAAAACAAAGGTCCTCCACCTGCCAACAACAAGGTGATTAGTTGTCAGGTAGCTCAACAACTTGGGCTGTGAACAAGACAGAGAAAAGTTAGTCAGTCCAGAAGAGAAACCAACAGGTCTGCAGTAGCCTGAAACTCTTTATTTCAGTTCCTTGCAGTAAGCCACTTTAAGCTTAAAGGAAACCAGCTTATTTTCTCTTCAGCAGATGCTGCCAGTTGTGACTTTGAACTGGCTAAGTAAGAGACCTTGCATAAGTGAACCAGCAACTCTGTGCCTTTTGCAACCCAGTAGAAGTATTCAAAAAATGGAAGGTTGAATGGTTATGGAACAGCAAGAAACAACAAACAGATTTTGTGAACAGAAAGCTAACAACATTTTTGCCAATGCCCCCTCTCTCTTCAGAGGGTTGGTGTGGACTCGATGGGCCAAATGGCCTGTTTCCACACTGTAGAGATACGATGATTCTAAGCATCTATTATAGCATTGGTAGCTTCCTCTCCAGAAATCATATGTCTGCTTATAACATCTTGTCAAGATCCTGATGCTACAACAATTTCCTGAGCTGTCACAGTGTCCGGGGCCTCTGAACATGACAGCAATGTGGGAATCTTCCTATTTAATCACATTTTGATCATAATTGAGAAAACATGACATTGATGCTTTTGAGTATTTTGCCCTTTTGAAGTCTTACCTCCGGAATCCTGAAGCCAAGAGGATTCATTTTCTTTCCTCTCCTTGGAGAATGAAGGTTTTCATCTGTTCCACTGCTAGTTCTTTATTCTCTTGACTGACAGTGATACAACTGCTAACAGTCTTATAACTGTTTAACTAATCCCTTGCAACTCAATATATCCATGTCAGTGCTTGTGCATTTAAAATGCCAGGACAGAATTCGTGACGTTGCCCCAACAACTGTTAACTTAATAGTACTTGGACAGTGCCTGAATATGTGTAGCTCCAACAACACTCAAGACGCTTGACACCATCCAGAACAAAGTAGCGTGCTTGATTAGCACCACATCTACAAACACTAAATCCATCACAGAAGCTCAGTAGCAACTGTGTGTACCATCTACAAAATGCATTGCAGAAATTCACCATAGCTCTTAAAACTGCACTTCTGAACCCGTAACCACTTCCACCTAGAAGGGCAGGGCAGCAGATCCACGGTAACACCATCACCTGCAATTTCCTCTTCAAGCCATTCACCATCCTGACTTGGAAATGTATTGCCATTCTTTCAGTGTTGCTGGATCAAAATACTAGAACTCTCTCCCTAACAGTATTTACACCATGCACCAAATGGACTGCAGTGGTTCAAGAAGACAGTTTAGCACTACCTTCCCAAGGGCAGTCAAGGCAAGATAATAAATATTGGCCTAACCAGTGATGCCAACATCCTGTGAGTAAATTTAAAAAATGTGATTTGAGGAACTGGCCTTGTTCGCAAGTGGACTCTTCAATGTAAAAGACAGAATAGCTTATTTAATTGTACATGTGGCAACGTTTGTCCTTTCAGAGTGGGTGAGTATATGTAAGAGCATAAAAAGGGTTTGAAGAAAGCGCAAGAAACTAAAAATACTCATCATGGGTCTTGCCAATCCCTTTATCTGTCCTGAATGAATGAGTATGTAAGAGAAGGCAATACCTGGTATGGGAGGTGAAATAGATCCCCTGGTTTTAAAGCCTCCAGCTCCTGGATTAATCCAGTATTCCATCAACGGTTTGATATCTGATGAGATCAAAAGATTTTTCATTAGGAATCCAAGCTAGGATGCCTGAAGATCAAATCATTTTAAAAGGTTTGTTTAAAGATTTATTTCTTGTGGATACTGAATGTTCTGAGGAAGAACCATGTTGGACTCGTAACATTTAGTCTGTTTTTGTAGTGATTGGGACCAGGTGGAACTTACTGACTGCAAGGTTTTTGATTGGTGTGTTAACCTGGGTCAGGGAGACCTGGCTGATGAACATAAACAGGGGATTCAGAATCCCTTTACCTAAGGAAACTGACTCCGAGCTGGTTGGCCACATTGTGCACATGAAAATAATGGGTGACTTGATGATGGAATACTGTCTTCTGTGCAGTGATTTAAGTTTCTCTCTCCATTGAGGCTGTCAAACCTGCTGAGTTCCTTCAACCTTTTCAGTTCTTATTTCAAATCTCCACCATGCACAGTATTTTGCTTTTATTTGAGAACTACTAGTATTAACAAGTGTCTGTTTAAGCATTGATTGTTTATCCAATGACCTGCTTTAGTTATTATGATTTGAGTGATGACCACACCCCATTTAGGTGATCCATTGAAGCACTTTTCTTATGAAAAGTATTTTTTGATCTTTCACTCGATTTTATTTGGATTTTAGGTTCGTGATGGTGAAACAGAGCTGGATCCTCTAATCAACAAGTTCTGTGGTTCCACCCTCCCAGCTCCCATTACTACAAATGGTAACAAACTGTGGATTAAATTTGAATCAGACATTTCTGCCTCAAAAGGAGGTTTTATTGCACTATATGAAGTTGGTAAGGATTCACTTTTGCTTTTATCTGTAAAGTAACATGGTAGTGTATTGATTTGTTGTGGCATAAAGTGATAGAGCACCATTATTTTTCACAGGTTGAGTTCCTGTTGATGTGGTAGCATTCCCTAATGCATAAGATGACTCCAGGTTATTTATTGATTCATGTGTAACAAGTACTGCTATCTAAGCCAGAACTTGTTACCCAAAATCCCCGATTGCCACTGAGAGGGTGATGGTGAACTGTCCTCTTGAATACTTGTACTCCATGGTGAGTAGATAGACCCACTGTGCTGTTGGGAAAAGAGTGCCAGGACTTTGAGGAGTCAGAAGGAGAGTTATTTGCTGCAGAATTCCTAGCTGTTTTTGTAACTATTTTATCTATGTGGCTGATCCAGTTATGTTTCTAATCAATGGTAATTTCCCAAGGATTTGATGGTAGGTAATACCATTGAACATCAAGGGCAGATAATTGGATTCTTTCGTGTTGGAAGATGGTTATTGCCGGCACATACATGATGCAAATATTACTTGTTACTTGTCAGCCAAAACTTGGATATTGTCCAGGTCTTGTTTCATTCAGAGCTGGACTGCTTCATTGCCAAATGGCACTGAACATTGCTGAATCATTTTAAAAATCCCCAATGCTGACCTTAGCATGGAGGAAAGGTCATTGATGAAGCAATTAAAGATGATTGGGCCTAGGACACTTTCCTGAGGAACTCCTGAGGTGATGACCTGGAACTGAAATAATTAAACTGTTAGAACTACAATCCTCTCTTTTTTTGTTCTAGCTATGTCTCAATCAGTGGATAATTTTCTCCCCGATTCCCACTTTTGAGATTTCATCTGCAATAGAGATATGACAAACTTTGGCAGTATATTCTTAAATCTACAGAGATATTGGAGGCTGTAGTTCTTAGAAACATGATATAATCTAAAGATCAGCTTAAATCAGAGTTCAAATTAAATGGTTTGGGATATATTCAGTGTATTTGTGAGCTAAGGTGGAGCAGTTCAATGACAAAGACCACCACCATCTTCTCCAGATTAATTAGGGATGGATAATAAATGTTGGCCCAGCAAGTGATATCCACATTCACTGAAATGATTAAAAAAGAACAGCTAAAGTTGTAGTGAATTTCATTAATCTTCACAAGGAAAAGTTGCCTTTATGTTAACTTTGGAGCCCTTTTAAAGGTTTTGATGGCACAATTGCCAGTTGTCAGCAACTGTACTCAGGCCTTCCAAGAATGGATTTCACAGGGAAGGACAGCAAGTCTCCCATTTAAAGTCCAAAATCTTTCAGATATAATGAACTAATTAACTGATTAGCATCAGAACTTAGAGGTAGTGCAACTGAGGCAGTGTCTCATTGCAATTTTGTTCAACTTTAACTTTGTTCCCCAGCATCTAGGAATCAAGCTTTGTGCCCTCTCACATCCCAAGAATCTCAGGTTCAAAGTGAATATAAAGAACCAGATAGAATTAGATTTTCCTCTTCAGCCTGTGGGAAGGAGTGCAACCTGGTAGAATTAATTGTCAACCATTTTAGAAGCTGTCTGATTTTCATTCCTTTTCAATCTATCCCAGAGTGGTAGAACAGTGAGACAGAGGGGGTGAGAGAGAGTGAGAGAGAGAAACATAAATGCACGGAAAGAACAATGGGAAACAAATATGGACAAAGACATGGAAGCAGGCTTTAGGGGGAGAAAAAAACCCTGCAAAGACCATTTGAGCCAGTTTCTGTGCTGCAAGTTGCAAAATAAGAAAAATAAATAGGCTTAGAAAAGGGAGAGAAGGAAAAGATACAGAAGTCACATTGAGTAAATGAATATCTGAAACGTCGTAACACAGAGAGGTAGAGAAGAACAATGCTCTATGGAAAAGCATGGATTACTAAACATTACACTTTAGTTTTTTAAAAAAATGTCACACATATATAGGTGCTTGGGTAAAGTCAATGCTCCTGCATTCCAGGTAACTCTGAGATGGGGATGCTTCTCTGAGCATTGCTCCTTTTGGGAAAGCAGAATTGGTCAATTTGCCATATTTTTAAAAAATGGAATTGTTTTACTGTTCCTCTGTTGATGCTTTCTAATATTCATATTTGAGTGCAAAAGTTCTGTCTGAGTGAAATAGCAATTCAGATCTCAAGGAAGAAAAGACCACATCTAAAGTACTGTTAGCCAATCTCCCCTGTGAAACTATCTATTTAAACCATTACAATAAATAGTAAATCAGTGTGCATGTTTGAGTATTTATATTTCAGAAAGAAACCACCATTTTGCCATATTCCCTGGTAGAAAGCTTTGATGCAAGTAACTGTTAAAAATAGTTTTAGCTACCCTAAAAGCAAAGGACAAATAGAAGCAAGCTTACTTTACTGACATTCTTGTGTATCTGTCTAGTTGTAAGAGAAAACCTTTATTTGCACAGATTTAATGATTTGTTTCTGAAAATATACCTTTTCAGAGCCAATGGTGTACATCTTTGAGTATTACACAAAGACATTTTTTGACCATGATCTTTCCATCAATAGAAATCTGTATTTATCCAGTACCTTTCCCAAAGACCTTCAAAAAGCATTATAAAGCAAAGAATAAATCTGAATGGCACAGAAAATATTGAGCAGATGACCAAAACTTGATCAATATGGTAAATTATAGAGAATATCTTAAAGGTGAAAAAGGGTGAGGCCATGGAGAGATTTGAAAACAAGTTTGAGAAATTTAACATTGAGGTTTTGCTGAACTGCAAGTCATTGCATCTCAACGAGCAGAAACGGGGTTTGTAAATCAGCTAGATTTGGTGCAAGTTAGGATGTGGGCAAAATAGTCTTGGCTAACATTAGATTCAGAATAATGCATAAGCATGAGAGGCCAGCCAGAAATATTTCAGAATGGTAAAACAGGTTTTTTAACAAAATATAGGTATGAATAAATGTTTCAAAAACAGAATAACTGAGGCAGGGGTGAGGCTAGTTGATGTGACAGAGATGAAATAGGTGGACTTAGCGACAACACAGACATACAGCTAAAAGACCATCCTGGGTCAAATATCACACTGAGGTTGTGAATAGTATGAATCATAGGAAAATTGTATCACAAAAGGAGAGCATTTGACCCGTTGTGTTAGGTCTGGCTTTCTGCAACAGCAACTCAGTGTAACCCACTCCCTCGCCGTTTCCCTGCAGCAATTTTCTTTTTTTATTCAATTACTTACTTAATTCCCTTTTGGAAGCTGTGAATGCATCTGCCTTTACCACCCTTCCAGATGGTGGATTCCAGTTTCCAATCACTCATGCTGCTTTTGGTCCTTTTACCAATTACCTTTTAATTGGTGTTCCTCTGAATTCCAACCTTTTCGACTCAGAGGTTTAGGCTCAGGCTGTTTCCAGGAGATGGATCAAAGTCATGGGGGATCAGGACAAAGTAGATAGAGAGAAGCTGTTCGCATTAGTGGAACAGTTGGTGACCAATGGATACTGATTTTAAGGTGAATAGCAAAAGAACCAAAGACAAAATGAAGAAAGACCTTTTCACACAGCAAGTGGTTAGGGTTTGATATGCACTGAACGAGTGTGTGCTGGATGTAGATTTACTCATGGCTTTCAAGGGGCTAATGGATAATTGTCTGAAGCGAATAGTTTGCAAGGCTGTGTTGTAGAAGTAAGGAGTTGGCCAAGCTGATTTACCTTTGGAGTGAACCAGCATGCACTTGTCAGGACACGTGGCGTCCTTCTCTGCTGTAATAATTCTATGAATCAAGAGAATAGAATTTGGAAAAGGGACCAAGGCAATGGTTTCAATTCTCCAAAAATTTAATTGGAGGATTTTCTGCTCATCCAGATATCAGATTGGCAACAATTAGGCAAACAGGGGGTGGGGGGCTATGGATGTGTGTGTGTGGTCAGGAGAAGTGGTGGAGGGGTAAAACCAAACACCACCAGTGTAAATGTGGAAACTGACACTGCTTTACAAGCTGATGCTACAGGCTGGCAACATCCAGATGAGAAATAGGAGGAAGCAGATGATAGTTCTTTCAACGACACTAGGGGAGCAGCAGGAGTGGCATTGATGCTGATTCTATGGCTACATTTAGGTGAATAAGAATGGAGCCAGGCAGCAAGATTCCCACCCACTTGGAAAACAGTGGAGGCAGTGGGATTGGATGATGTGATCAACCATGTCAAAGACTGTGAAAAGGTTGAGGATGGTGAAGAGGGACAGCTTTCTTTGGTCAGAGTGACTTAGGATATCATTTGTGACTTTAATAAGGCACTGTGGTGAAGTGGGAGGGGAAGATGATTGTAAAGAATTAGACGTGGAATTCCAGCAAAGATGAGCACTCATTCTGGAGGTGCCACATGTTCAAGAACTTGGCACAGGAAAAGGAGTTTGGAAATGAGCTGATAGCTTGCACAGGTAAGGGAGTTAAGTGTTTTTTTTTAGCAAGCAATGTAATGTCAGCAAATTTGAAGGAGAGATGGAAAGCACCTGAAGGAAGTGAACTATTTACAATGTCAGCCAACATGGGATCCAGAAAGGGTACTGGTGGTTAACTGTGAGTTACCTTTGTATTCAAGAATGATCTGTATAATGAATAATTTTACCTTAGTTTTTAGTTTTGAAAGAACGATATGATAGTGTTTTTAGTGATTCAATCACACCTGGCATAAGTCGTTAAACCAGCTAGCCACCATATCTGTTCAAGTCTATGTCTTTTGGTTTTAGAGAGCAGATATAGGTCCATATCAAAGAATGGCTAGGGTTTTAGTAGGTGTGAGGTGATCAAAGATAGAGATAAGGATGTAGCTAAGCAGCTCCATATCTGCAATAATGTTGTGGCAAACAAGGGACAAAGTTTGGCAAGAGAAATTTTGAGAGTGTAGTTGTAATTGAAAAGGAAGAGAGTTTCATTCAGCACAAATAAGGGAGAAAGTAGGGTTTAGAGGGGAAGTAGGACGTGTGTGGAGAACAATCTATGGAAGCAATCAGAGATGGGCTTATCTTTACTGAGCTTTCAGTCAAGGTCCCTTACCGATGGGCAGCAAACATTGTCTTTTCAAGCAACACCCACATCCCATGAAAAGAGCAGTAAAAAACAGAGCATTAGTTCGGATGTTCAGCATCATTCACATGTACAGTGTACGGTAATGGGTCTGAAAGAGTTAATGTTTGAAACTGCATTAAGCTCCACCTAATCTGCTAATGTCATACTGGCTTGAGTGGGGATAAGGCAGAACATCTTCAGATCTTGTGAAGTACATATTTATATCTAAAAGTCTTCTCAGTCTTCATTTATCTTACTAATGTAAATTGGACATATTTATAACCATACAATAAATTACATATTGCTGAGACTTATTCATGTTTGATTTTCTTCTACTATACACCAAATAAGACTTTAGACTGGGCTAAGGAAAGGTGGTTGCAAAACCCCTACCCACAAATATCACATGGTAATCAGTGGTGTGTATCATTCTTAAAATCACGAGGTAAGTGGTGAAAGATTCCTTTGGATCCAGGAGAAGGAATTTCCAGAAGATGAAGTGAGCTTACTGCTTTAAAGACCTGTGAGCAGGTTGACTAGAAAGTATCTCAGCAAAACTCATCATGGCCTCTTGTGATGCAATGGTAATGTCCATACTACTGGACCAGGAGACCAAGATTCAATCCCCACATTTTCCAAAGGTGTCTAATACCATTACTGAATGTGTTGATTTAAAAAAAAAATCAGCAGAAACTCAAGGAAAGACCAACAATTGAGAAATAGCACTCTAGGCTGAAGCCTAGCCTCTCGACTTCAGGAAGTAGAGAGGAGGACATGCCCCTATTTGTATAATTACTGCTGAGGTGATGTTCGAGAGCTTCAGGTTCCTAGGAATAAATATCCAACATCTATCCTGGTCCATCCACGTTGACACTACAATCAAGAAAGCAAACCAACACCTCTACCTCCTTAGAAGGCTAAGGAAATTTGGCATGTTCACAATGACTCTTACCAATTTTTATAGATGCACCATAGAAAGTATCTGAGCAGGATGCACCAGGCTTGGTATTGCAACTTCTCTGCTCAAGACTGCATGAAATTACAGAGAGTTATGAACGCAGCCCAGTCCATCATGAAAACCAGCCTTCCTCCGTCTATACTTCCTGCTGCATCGGGAAAGCATCCAACATAATCAAGGACTTCTCTCACCAGGGTTATACTCTCTTCCACCTTCTTCCATCAGGCAGAAAATACAAAAGATCAAAAACACATATCAACAGATTCATGGGATAACAAGGTGTAGAGCTGAATGAACACAGCAGGCCAAGCAGCATCAGAGGAGCAGGAAGGCTGACGTTTTGGGCCTAGACCCTTCTTCAGAAATCAACAGATTCATGAACAGCTTCTTCCCTGCTGTTATCAGACCTATGAATGTACCTCTCATATATTAGAGGTGATCTTTCTCCGCACCTTGTCTGTAGCTGTAAAGCTATAGTTTTTATTCTTTTCTTACCTTGATGAACTGATGTAAGATATGATTTGTCTGGTTAGCACACAAAACAATATTTTTCACTGTATCTCAGTACATGTGACAATAATAAATCAAACCAAATCAGGAAGCACAGAAGAAGCAGTGCGAGCTAGAAACAGCTTACATTCTAGTTTCATCCAGCAGTTAAAGATTCCATCAGAAGCAAGAATCTGTAGAAGCATTTCTTGTTAGGGGCAAAAATGTGAACAGTGAAAAAGAAACAGACTGCTTGCAGTTTGCATTGAGCATTGCTGCCAATAGCAAGCAGACACCATGTGAAATGGATAACGAACTAGGAAAATCAAGGGCCATAGAAGTACTTTACATTAAGTTTGCAGCACTGGGAACATTGTGAAACAAATTTAAGGTGACAATTTAAAGGGACAATTTAAAAGTTATAGCAGGAATGGAATGGTTCAAGAATGTTACTCACCTTACAATCTCAAAGGCAGTTAGGATGAGCAATACATTCTGATCTAGCCACTAACACCCACATCCCATGGAAGAATAAAACCAAAGGATGCCAAGGTTATGGTTTGAGAGTTTGCAAGGTGATTGTGATTAAGGGAGACAAAGCAGGCCTGTTAACTCAGGAAAGGGAATGTAATAAATTGAGCCAGAGGTTGAAATCTCCAAGGTTGAAGAATTGCTCAGTGTAAAGGCATTTCACTGCATACTTCAAGAGAAAATGCGACATTCAAATATACTTTTCATTCTCCACAATATAAATACACACAGTTTGAGATTTTGAACTTTTGCTATATAATGGTTGGCAAAGCGTCTTTGCAAGATCTAGATAATTTTACTTTTACACTATCAATTTGCCTTATCCTGACTTGAGTCAACACCCATGCATGTACATATTCCAGCAGCCCTTTGAATAATAACAGAGTGGAACCTATGGCTGGTTTCCCCGTGCCCCAGCCCAGCAACACCACTGGGAGACTGTACAGTGATCTCAACTGTAATAAATTAACTTCTCGCACAATGGGGAGGGGTGGAAGGAAGTCTGGAATCTGCCTAATCAGTGGTTCCTTTCCACAAATGAGCAATGCGTAATCTACTGAGGCATTGGAAAAGAATTCCATTAACTCATTTTTAGCTGCAGTCTTTATTCCATTAATGCTCTCCTTTTTCACTGTTTCCAAATTGTTTCCTGATGTTTCAACACAGCATGCGGTGGCACACTGAATGGCAATGGAGTGATAGAGTCTCCTTATTATCCTAAGTCATACCCGCATGACAAATCCTGTGAGTGGGTTATCAACCAACTAGAAGGACAAGTGGTGACACTCAACTTCATTTCCTTTGATATTGAGAATGCTACAAACTGCAACAATGACTATGTGGAGGTATGGGAGCAAAGATTTTTAATCAAACAATAGGTGAAACTATCGTTGACATAAACGCTTACTATCCATACCTCAGAAATGATCAGGTATTCACCAGAAATACGCTGATCATTTGAAACACAACATTTTATGCTAGCACCCAGACAGATAATAGTAATTAAGAATAGAACACAAAACTAAAATAACTGTCCTTCCAGCATTTCTCTCAGTTCAAGAGTGGTTGTTTTCACCCTTTCAGTGCCTTGTTGTGTTATCTATTGAACATTACATTGATGAATATCTGAAAGAGAAAGGTAAGTATTTCAGACATGGGGGTAGAATCTTGTAGAGGTGCTGGAATCTCACTTGCCAAGTGAACAGTCAGCAAGAGGCCCAAGATGCCTCTTTCCAGGAAGGCCAACTGAGTTACGGGCCAATCAGGCAATGACAAGGCAACCAGAGGTTCTTACTCTGGAATCTTACCCTGGCGTGTTGGCTGAGGGCCTACGGAGCTAGTGTTTGCAGCCAATCAGTGACAGTTAGCACTTGTCCTCAGCAAAGCCATAGGGAAGCCCATAGCTGCTGCTGGAAGGGCACTTCCCTGACATCCCAGGATCACAGAGGATCCAGGCCACAGTTACACAATTATGAGGGAGATGTTTTGCAGCATGGGCCTGTGGTAGATGTATGCAATGGGGTCGAACATAAAGGCGGGGTAGGCTAGCTCACAGTGGCCCCCACTCTACATTTTATTCATGAATGAATTTGATTGAGGAGCGATCACTCCTTGCCTTCCCTGAGGTTACAAGTAGCCCAAATGGTTTGACCTGGTATGCGCACTGCATGGCAACAGGCCCATTTGCAGTTAGGTTAATCCCAGAGGCAGTGGGATGAAGTGTTTAAATGGTCCTTAATTGGTCATTAAAGGTCTCAGTAGATGTTGGAATGAGAAAGCCGACTTTATGCCTTTCCATCCTGAACTTAATTCTGGAAGAGGTGGGAAGGTGGTAAGTTTCAGGTAAGGCAACATCCTGCCTAACTAATTATCCCGCCCACCAACAAGCCTGCGACCAGGGAGAGCAGCAGCTTCTGCCCAATGTTTTCTTTAGTTCTGATCAAACAGTTTCACCTGATATGTTGTCCTTCTCTTTCAAACTAATGTATTTACAGCTATTTTCTGTTTACTTTTCAAATTTTGTTTCTACCATGCATCAGCATTTTGCTTGTTTTCGTGTTTTTTGTTTAACTTTTCACAGAACCACCTAAATATTTTTCCATACCTCATTAAGATCTTTAAAAGTACATTCTCTTCTTTATGTAAGCCATAATTTTAAAAAAAGCAGTACAAGCAGTCTCTTTTCATTTAATTAATTTTCTTAAATCTATTATTATTGTGACATAAGTCAAAAGTGGAATTGCTCTGATTTTTAAAATGCTGATGTTTAAATAACAAAAGCAAAAAAAATCCTTCTTACAGCCTTGTTCACTGCTTATTAATGTCGAAAAGATGTTTGTTGATCCACTTCATATGAAAAACTTAGTGCCCTTGTGTCCCTACCTCTGGGCCAGGAGGCCTCGGTTCAAACCCCATCTGCTCCAGGGGTGTGTAATTACAACTCTAAGCAGGTTAATTAGAAAATATCTAAAAGCTATGGCTTAGGAATTCAGTTGGATCTATATTGTCAGTGGAAAAATAGCTGAGCCTTCTTACCATCCGTGCCAAACTGTGGGATGGGATCCTTTGTTGTTCACTGTGTCCAGGCTATTTAAACAGAAGCGTCCAGACTTCACCTTTATACAACAAGAAATTACGTTAGTTATTTAAGATAGTGAAATAACCTAGCAGTACTTTCAATACTTTTAATAAAGCAGTTGTCTTTTAGTATGAAGCTGTACTTCTGTTTTGGATTCTTGGTATGCATTTTAGAGTTTTATGTCTTTTACATGAAGAAATTGCTTTTCTTTTGAAAGAGTTATTCATTTTTCTCCAAATGAGTTGCCAATCTGAAATGAGTCTGTTTGGTACTAGGTCAGAGATGGACCTGTGATAGACTCTCCACTGATTGGTAAATATTGCGGTACCAACATTCCACCAATAGTCCAGTCAATGCAGAGGTCAATGTTTGTCAAGTTCAAGACAGACTCCAAAATAAGTAGCCGTGGATTTCAAGTCAAGTATGGATCAGCTGTGAAAGGTAATTTAAAATATCTCCATTAATATTATCTATGCTCCTTTCTCTTGTTTTAATCTTCTTAAGAAATTCGGCTGCGGTGGATTCAAAATTGCAAGGTAGTGTGAACTCTCCTGGTACTAAGCATGAGGTAGGATATTGAGCTTATAAACCCATGCACCTGATACTGATGCACATGTCTAAAACCATGAGGGGCATGGATTGGGTGAATAGCCAATGTCTTTTCCCAATGGTAGGGGAGTCTAAAACTAGAGGGCATAGGTTTAAGATGAGAGGGGGAAGATAACTAAGGGACCTAACAGAAAACCTTTTCACACAGAGAGTGATGCATGTATGGAATGAGCTGCCAGAGGAAGCAGTGGACAAAAACAGAAGTTGCTGGAATAGCTCAGCAGGTCTGGCAGCATCGGTAGAGAAAAAAATCAGAGTTAATGTTTCAGGTCTGGTGACCCTTCCTCAGAACAGTGGAAGCTGATACAATGGCAACATTTAAAGGGCATCTGAATGGGTACATATAGGAAATAATATGGTACAAATAGGAAGGGTTTTTGGGATATGGGCCAAATGCTGGCAAATGGGACTAGATTAATTTAGGATATTTGATTGGCATGGATGAGTTGGACTGAGGGGTCTGTTTAAATGCTATACAACTCTATAACTCTATAAGTCTATATCTTAGTAATTATGGGTGTGGGCTAAATCCAGAGGTTATGTAGTTCAAATCCCATGACAGTAAGTTGTGAATTCAATAAATTTACTCATTAATAATAGAAAATTGGTGATGAAAGCTGTTGACTGTGCTGCAGGGAAGGAAGTCTGACCACTCCAATTCTGTCTAATCTACAAATCGTGCCAGTTTCACACTTCATGGTTGACTCTCAATGCCCTCAGGCCAACAAGGGATTGGCAATAAATGTGGACTTGCTCATATTTCCCACAACCAGAGAATGGACAGTATAGTTCTGCAGGTGAGAGGAACTGGCCAATTGTCAGGATATTGCATTGCTGATGAACAGAAATTACGGAATTTATATGAATTAGTATGCTGGATTTGACATTCTAATTAATCTCATGCTCATGAGCTCATTTCTCCATATTGCATAGTTAATATATTCCATAGGCTGAAGTTGGATTCCAAATTTTTTTTAAAGTAATGTCATTATTAAACTGACTTGTTTGAGAATGTGTGAATGTTAATTGCATTTTGCTTCTTCAATTGACATTTTCGGATGTGGAAAGCACCATTTTATTCATATTGATCAGCACTTTTAACAATCAGAAAAGCAGCATTGTAAGTTTTATAATATGAGCCTTACAGTGGTAACGTATCTGGAAATGTTAAGTGCTAATGTGGCGGTGTTGTAGTGTCCCTACCTCTGAACTATGAGGCCTGGGTTCAAGACCCAGAGGAGTGTAATAACATATCTGAGCCCCTTGATCTAGAAGGTATCTATGGGAGGACCTTGCAGTCTATAAATATACAGGCTTCTATTATATTAGATTATAAACATTAATTGTTTCATCTACAACATGAAATGTCTGTGTACCCTGAAATTTGCAGAGAACCTGCTGTGTCTAAGGGGTCTGATGTAAACTCTTGTATAAATGGATTAGTAGAATCACTTTCTGCTGTTGGATCCTTATTGGTTTATTTGAAATAAAATGAACATTTTATTTAAAGAAAGTGATAGAATGAATTGACAGGACTAAGAATGTAAAAGTACTTTTATGATTCAGTCTCCCCTGTTGGAACAATCAATGAAAAAATAATTTTCTTTGTAGGATGTACTGAACTTCTGACAAAACCAGTAGGTACCATTTCTAGCCCTGGATATCCGACAGATTATCCACACGGTGCCAAATGCATCTGGTATATCTCAGTTCAGCCTGGAAATGTCATTCGTCTCACATTCGATTTCTTTGATCTTGAATATCACATGAACTGCACCAAGGATTATGTCGAAGTGTATGATAATGGTCCCATTATTTCTGGCAGACTAATAGGAAGGTAAGAAATGATAAACTTTTAAGTTTTGTGCCTGGTGTCCCTAATAATTAATCACATTCCCTGAGTATTCAACATTGCTAAATGCCTCTAAAACAGAGATGTTATTATTTAGCATCTGTCAGCATGGTACTAAATTGTGAATTATTAGCTAATCAATTTAGGGATATACTGATATGCTGTCATTATCCAATTCTATTTGTGACAGAGTCTAAGTGAAGGAAAACTTTTATAATCCAATTCTTCTGAACATACAAGTCTCAAAACAATTGATTTAACCTCCTCACTCATTTTAAAGGGCAGCTGGCCTCAGCATATCTCACCCAAATAATTTATTTGGCAATGGTAAGATTGTAGGGGTCAAGATGGGGAGGTATGAAATTTGTTAGGCAATTTTATCAGACATGGACCGGAAATCTTCCATGTGAATAAAAAAAAATCTGTACTTGTCTACCTCTATGGCTGTCTTATCAGGAGCGATGGAGAATCTAGAAATAGTTAGTAAATGTAATTACATGTAGGCAAAATAAAAAAGGCAATAAGCCATAGAATTCTTTTTGATGCTTAGTTTATATTGTATCTTGCTTTACCATTAAACGGAAATTCTATTCTTGATTGGCTATTAAGACATCAGAAAACAGCATTCATAGTTATATAATAATGAATGTAATGGGCAGGAACTTCAGCAAGTTATGTAAGGAAGCAACTAACCAGATTGCTGTTTGCCTTTCAAATTTGTTTCAATTACTCAGGGTAAAAAGACTATTTCTGGGAGAATGGAACAGTCTCTCCTCACAGTTAATAACTGTCACTTGTAATTGATTTACATAAGACAAAATCCTTTAGTGTTCGTCATGTGAGTTTTAAACTGGTTTCCAGAGCTCTTTTTTTGGTAAAGGCTTGCTTGCCTTGAATGAACTTCCACAAAAAAGCGTGGAAACTTGCATTTTGCCATTTGTGACATAACACATTTTTGATCTTGTGTGTTTTCCCAATAGCCACCAACACTCTATATGTTCACATTGTATACTGAAAAAAAAACCTTCTGTGTGATTATGGAAAATACAACTATTATTGGTTTTAAAGTGACATGTTTGCTTTAATTGTTGAAGAAAGCTAACATTCTTGATAGTAAAGTCAACATTTTCACATACTGTAGGTTCTGCGGAAGGTCTGTTCCTCCTTCTGTGACCAGCAGTGGCAGTTTGATGAGCCTTCTGTTTGTGTCTGATTCAAGCATAGCCTTTCAGGGATTCGCAGCAAGTTATGATTCTCTTGATGCTTCCTCAGGTATGTTGTTACACTGTAGAATATTTCCTAAATATTGTAATAATGAACAGCATGGTGATGGTACAGATAATGCTGTTATGTTTCTTTAAACTTGAATACCCTGCACCTGACAGTTGTAACTACATTTTTCTTGCTTTGGCTGTGTTTTGATATTTAATATTGGCATACCATGTATTAAATCGTGGGAAATGTTGAAATGGGGATACAGATGAGGGAAATGGGGTAGGGATTTCTTCTGTCAGAGGCTAACTGATCTATGGACTTCTCTTCCCCAGAGCACAGTCGAGGCTCAGTCATTGAATATAATCAAAGCTGAGTTAGAGAGATTTTTGATGTGCAAGGGAGTCAAAGCTTAAAGGCAGCAGCCGGAAATTGGATTCAATGTCACAATCAGAACAGACATCATTTTCTCCAATGATGGAGTAGGCCAAGTGGTCAAATGGCCTGCTCCTCTTGGTTTTTTATGTTTTTATGTTAAGCACCATACAATCTACCCCACTCAAGAGATCAAACCCACAGCAATGTCTTATCTACATGTTTATGATTAGTACAGAAGTGATAACAAGTTTCTGACATCATCTAACAGAAATATTGGAGTCATAGAGTCATAGAGATGTACAGCACAGAAGCAGACCCTTTGGTCCAATTCATCCAGGCCAACCAGATATCCGAGATAAATCTAGTCCCATTTGCCAACATTTGGCCCATATCCCTCTAAACTCTTCCTATTCATATACCCATCCAGATGCCTGTTAAATGTTGTAATTATGCCAATCTCCACCACTTCCTCTGGCAGCTCATTCCATACACGCACTAGCCTCTGTATGAAAATGTTGCTCCTTAGGTCCCTTTTATATCTTTCCTCTCTCACCTTAAACCTATGGCATCTAGTTTTGGACTCCAGACCTTGCCTATTTACTCTATCCATGCCCCTCATGATATTATAAACCTCTATAAGGTCACCTCTCAACCTCTGACACTCCAGGGAATATAGCCCCAACCTATTAAGCCTCTCCCTATAGCTCAAACCATCCAACCCTGGCAACATCATTGTAAATCTTTTCTGAACCCTTTCTAGTTTCACAACATCCTTCCTATTAGCAGGGAGACCAGAACTGCACGCAGTATTCCAATAATGGTCTAACCAATGTCCTGTACAACCACAATATGACCTCCCAACTCTGATACTCAATGCACTGACTAATGAATGTAAACATACCAAATACATCCTCTACTATCCTGTCTACCTGCAATTCCACTTTCAAGGAATTATGAATCTGCACTCCAAACTCCCTTTGTTCAGCAACACTCCCCATGACCTTACCATTAAGCGTATAAGTCTTACCCTGATTTTGCCTTTCCAAAATGCAGCATGTCACATACCTCCATCTGCAGATATAGTCTTTTCTAGAAAAGGCTAATTGAGTAGTGGCACCCACAATTGGTGTGATCTGAATGCTGTTTACAGAGGGAGTCAAGGGTTATGGGTGTATACAGGAAAATGGAGATGAGCCCACAACAGATCAGCCATAATATGACCAAATAGTGGAGCAGGCTGAAAGACCAAATGATGTAGAACATAGAACATAGAACATAGAACATAGAACATTACAGCGCAGTACAGGCCCTTCGGCCCTCGATGTTGCGCCGACCTGTGAAACCAATCTGAAGCCCATCTAACCTAAACTATTCTTGCTCCTAAGTCCTATGTTCTTTTAATCTCTTTTGCTGTAAAGGTAAAACAAACTGAATCATTATTGAATTTTATTACTACTGTTCAGCAATATATGTGGGATGTCATCATCAACACTGAGAGGGATCTGAAAACAGGATGCACTTCTTCACTCAAACAGTAATGGAAATCTGGAAACCTTTGATCAAACTGCTCTGGATTTTGGGTCAATTGAAATGTTATGGGTACCAAAGGAGATAGTCAAGGGTGGATAAACAGAATTAAGGTGCATATTAGCCATGATACATGAACATTTGGATGGACATGATATATAACTGACAAAACTCATGTTACCTACTTCATCTCTAGCACATAGAGAAAGGAACTGTATTTGGCTATACCATTACAGAAACAATAGAGATTTACACGTGTGAGACTCAGCATGATAAACAAATACAGGAAGAGGCATACGGAGAATATCTTGCTCTTGACAATAGAAGAGGGAAATCAAATACCTCAGCACTCACCACAGAAGAAGGTTTGCATGCAACCAAAGATTTTTAACCAAAAATTTAACAGATTCAAGTATTGCTGAAATAAGGCACATTTTGATTTTCGTCTTGCACTCATCAAAACAATTTGCTAGAATATCGATACAGAAAAGACCAATATTTACTTTGTAAGAGAGGAGAGGGCTGATTGGTTGGTAAGTGGACACTGATTAGTAGAGGCATGGCCATGGAGAATGCAGCAGCTAATGATGATTGACTATCAATTACCAAGCTTTATTTAGATTTCAAATCTGGCAAGTTGACTTTGATTGTTCAGCAACACCAATTGTCCACCATTAACTTTGATTTTGCAGTTGGACAAGATTTACTGGATTATCATGACTGCATGAATAATTACACCGACAACCAATTTAGGATTGTTAATTGGGTTTGCAGTATGGCTCATTTGCATGAAATAGAAGCTATATTCATTAATACACAGAGCCTTGTTGATTGCAGACAGAATGGGATGTGCATCTATTGAATCTGTTTCAACTGAAAATATAGGTGACAGTCATTTGCTAGTTCATTTATCAGGGTAATGTCTTGAGCAATCAGACCTGGTCTGCCTGATTTGAAATCTAGAAAATTTCTAATCAACTTGTTCAGTGATGTTATTACACAACTCTGGAACAGATGGGAATTGAACCCAGGCCTTCTGGCTTAGAGATACACCACTACACGACATGAACCCTCTCTACTTTGAAATCTAAACAAAGCCTGGACATTAACTGTCAGTCATCATTAATAGCTACATTCTCTGTAGGAATGCCTCTGCCAATGAGAATCTATTGCCAACCTCTCAACCCTCTCCTCTCATACATTATAGGTGTTGTTTTTCCCCATTATTGTATTCTTGTGAATTGTTCAGACGAGCACAATATGAAGATCTTTGATAAAATGTGTCTTTTTTCAGCAATGTTCAGGTTCTGTTCTACTAAATGATTATTTCATTCATGTATGTTGAGCAGTCATTGTTAGAACTCGATATTTAGAAGTATAGATGTTGCCTTTTATTTGACTTTGAATACAGAACAAAATGGATGTAGAACAGAGTATTCATCACTAATGCATTGATTCTATTAAAATTGTGATAGATCTAAGTAATTATAAATGAAAAACTTTCGTTATGAACATTTTGAGTGCAGAAGTGATTAACAATAGGAACCACAAAAAGTCCCCCACATTTCCACTTATTTCTTTGCAGCTGTGTTATACTGTCCTCTTAGTGATGACAAAGCAGAAAGCTTCCTCCAGTGGATATGCCAAAACCAAAACCTGCATCCATTACGATTACTTTATTAAGTCATGTCAGCAAAGTTGCCCTGAGGTGGTATTTGTAGTAGCAGTGACAGATGCTACAGTGTGTAAGCTTGAAATTTTCTATAGGCTGAGAGTACGAAGAATTAAATCATGATAAGAGTTTCTTTTTGCCCAAGAGTTAAACTAATATCTGTATGTAACTGCTCTGAAAATAATGGGAGAACAAGTGGGAAGCCATTTTACCAGCATGGCACACTGCAATTTCACACAATTTTTTGAGTTGAAGTAACAGGAGTTTAAGCTTTTAATTTGTTGAGAATTCTGATTTTAAAATGGACAGGATTTTCACCTTTTGAATTGACGTTGATTGTACTTATACCACAAGACCATAAGATATATGAGCAGAATTAGGCTATTCAGCCCATTGAGTCTGCTCCAGAGATTATGACTGATATGTTTCTCAACCCCATTCTCCCGCCTTCTCCACATAACTCTTGATCCCTTTACTAATCAAGAACTTATCTATTTCTGTCTTAAATACACCCAATAGCTTGCCTCTGCAGCCTGCTGTGACAATAAGTTCCACAGATTAACCACCCTCTGGTGAATAAATTCCTCCTCATCTGAGGTCTAAAGCGCCATCCCTTCACTCTGAGGCTGTGCCTTCAGGTCCTAGTTTCTCCTACTACTAGAAACATCATCTCCATATCTTCTCTATCCAGGCTGCTCAATATTCTGTAAGTTTCAATGAGATATCCCATCATCCTTCTAAGCTCCATTGAGCTCAGACCCAGAGCGCTCAATTATTCCTCATATGACAAACCCTTCATCCCTGGGATCATACTTGCAAGCCTTCTCTGGACCCCTTGCAAAGTCAGCACATAATTCCTTAGGTATGGGGCCCAAAATGTTCACAATGTTGCAAATACAGTCTGACTAGAGCCTTATACTGCATCAGCATTGCATCCCTGCTCTTATATTCTAATCATGTTGAAATGAATGCTAACATTGCATTTGGCTTCCTAATTGCTAAGTGAACCTGCATATTAAGCTTAAGAGAACCCTGAACTAGGACTCTTATGTCCTTTTGTGCTTCAGATTTTCAAAGCCTTTCCCCATTTAGAAAATGGACTATGCATGTCTTCTTCCTACCAATGTGCATAACCTCGCACTTTCCAACATTGTATTCTATCTGCCACTTACTAAGTTATAGATGCACAGACAATCTTCAATTTTACCCCTGGCAATGATCCTTATTTTACACAGAATTGAAATAGATTCCAAAGGTGCTAGTAGCTATTTGCCATCTTTGATTAAAAACACCAATTTGGCTGTTTTCCAAACCTATTGTTAGTGATTGCCTTGTAATGATTGTTGATAAACGCAATGTCCTAGTTTCTCTCAGTGTCCTGAGACATAATTGACCTCTAAACTTGAATATTCATTTGAGCCCTTGTAACTTACATATATGTTGAAATGACTTAACTTTAAAAGTTCATGCATGACGTTTGGCA